TTCCAGATCGCCACATCGTCTGCGAATTGTGATGCACAACCGTGATTTGGATCTTTTAATGGCATATAACTTACATACATGATGAACAGAATAGGGTTAACTCCTCCTCCTTGGGGTACGCCTGCCTCTGGGCGAAATGCCTCAGAGTAGGTTCCCCGTACATTTATTTTACATGTTCTATTTTCCAAGAAGTTAGATAGCCAGCGAATAATCACCCGCGGTAGTTCCAGTTCTGTCATGCGGAACCTGAGACCGTTATGCCATACAGTGTCGAATGCTTTCTCGACGTCGAGAAAGCAGGCGACAGTGCATTCTTTTTTGTTGAAGCTATCAATTATTGTTTTGGTTAATCTTACTAAATGATCTGTTGTTTGTCTAAATTTTCTGAAACCATTTTGTGTTTCAGGTAATTTTGAAGTCACTTCTAGGTAATTTGAAAGTCTATTGCTTATTATTCGTTCTAAAATTTTGCCTACACAGCTGGTCAGGCTGATCGGGCGGTGGTTGTTTGGTTTATTTGCTGGCTTTCCTTCTTTATGGAACATTAGTACTATCGCTTGCTTCCAAGAAACCGGGATATATCCAGAATTTAGTGATAAGTTAAAAAGTGCTGTAAGATGTTCATACAATCTCCGAGTGCCCTTTTTGAGAAAGATGGCCTGTATGCCATCTTCACCTGGTGCCTTGTTTTTGGTGGTTTTTATGGCTTTATGGACTTCTGTTTCTGTTATTGTTTTAGTTAGTAGATATGTGATTGGGTTTTCTATTTCAGTTGGTTTGATATTTATGTTTGTGTTTATTGGAAATTTGGGTATGCACAAATCTATGTTTTGTTTGATGTAATTATTTACTTTGTGGTAAAAATGTTCGTTCATGTCCGGTTCATTGAGTGTTTTGTAGGTGTTCTTTGAATATTTTGGCTTTTTCAGAGTTAGAGTATGCTGTTTTGTTTTGTGTTTCTAGGGGTGGGTAATTACTATTGTTGTTTCCTGCATTGGTGTATCTTTTTAGATGGTTCCAGAATTGTTTTGGGTCAGTTTTATCATTTAGTAGAGAGCAAAAATTGTCCCAACTATCTTGCTTTAGTTGTCGGACTTCGTTTCGTATTTTATTTCGTATTGTGTTTATTTGTGTTTTGAGAGTTGGATCTCTGGTTTGCATGAATTGTCTGCGTAATTTCCTTCTTTCTTTTATCATGTCTATGATTTGTTTGTGAGGCTTCCATGTTTGTATTATTTTTGGTAGTTTTAGTTTAGGTATTGTCTGTTAGGGCCCGGCATGGCCCGGTGGATAAGTCACGCGGGGTCGCGTCCTTGTTGCACCAAACATGCCCACTTGGGCGTGGGTCTAGCAACTCCACTCCCATAACAAATGTGCTACGAAAACTGCAACAACAACACTTCCGTCGGCGAAGTGTTGTTGTAGCCCTATGTTCTACTAGGAACGACAGGAACTAAGAAGATTGTCTGTTGAGCTGCTGTTTGTAGACACTCGGTGATTGTATGGCAGTATGCATCTATTTCGGATGCTTCCGCGGCTTCACAAACTTTTGTCTATGATTATTTTATAATGAGTCCAATTTGCTTTCTTGCAATCAAATTTATCTGTTTATATTGATTTATTAGTTTGGGGGGTGAAATTGAAAATACACCAGACCGGTAAATGGTCACTATCTATTTCTTGTCCTACTTGAAATTGTTCGTATCTTCGACTCATATTAAACGAACATAGGCATAGATCCAGGATATCGCTGGTGCCGTATGCGTCTGATATATGTGTCGGCGTGGCATGGTTTAGTAGGACTGTATTTGTATTGATTAGGTAATCCAATAATAAAATTCCATTTGCGTTGGTTGTTTTACAGTTATATATTTTATGTTTACAGTTCAAATATCCTGCTATTATTATATTTTGGTTATGGCTATGTAGGTTACTCAACAATTTTATATCAATGGTTTTACTCGGTGAGCAGTAGATGCCTGCTACCGTTACTTTTGTGTTGTTTTCAGTGATGACATCTATGGTAATACATTCATTTGTGGTTGTTATATCCACTTTCGAAACAATCATGTTTGTTTTATATAATATAAGTATACCTCTGTTGAGGTCTCTACTATTTGTTCTATCATTTCTTATAGTTGAGTAACCTTTGATTTTAAATCTGTTTAAATTTATAACAGGGTTTCACTAATTATTAGGATATCCGGTTTTATGGTATTTGTTAAATCTTCAATCTCATGTTTCTTGGAAGCAAGCGCACCTTGGATGTTGACATGTGCCACCTTGAATTTAATTTAGTAATGTGTTAGTTAAGGTCCTTAGAATTGCCGGAAAGAATGATGTGAGTTTGTTGCTTATTATTTTCATTAGGAGTGTTATACAGTCGTCTGTTCTGGATGGGTTATTAAGTTCGTTTATAACTTCCAATGCTATGATTTTTAGGATATTCGTGATTGGCATGTCATCGTTGGTTTCATTTTGTTTAGTTTTTGTCTTATTCTGTGCTATTCTGGAGTTTTCTGGGGTGGTGTCAGTGTGTGTTTCATTGATAGTTTCTCTTTCTCTCTGTTTCGTTACTGTATTTGTGATTGCGGTGGCGTATGTTGTTTTTTGTGCTTGTGGTGTTGGTAATAATGTTTTTTTATTACTGTTTGTGTTTGGGCATTTGGGTTTTTAATTTCATAAATTTTGGTCTTAATGTTTTTGTATTTTTGACAGCCCTTGTAGTTGGCCGTGTGGTGTTCTCCACAGTTGCAGCATTTTGGTTCTGGGTGTTATTTCTGACATTGTATAATGTGGTGGTCTACTCCACAGCCAACACATCTTGGAGTTGCTTGGCAAGCAGCTGCTACATGTCCAAATCTTTGGCAGTAGTAGCATTGAGTTACCACTATGGATGGTGTCTTTGTCTGCTCTACTGCATATCTTTGGTACCACATAAAGATACCATTGTTAATGTAATGTGTAATATCCTGTGTGTTATCTGTGTATACTTGTTTGTTGGTTTTTTTGTGATGTTTGATATGATTCTTTCCACTTTAGTAGCTTTTATTTCTTGTTTTTGTAGCGTGTCTTGTATGTCTTCCGGGTTTATGGAGTAGTGCACTCCCCTGATCACGAATGACCTGGGTTGTGTCCTTGCTCTCAGAAGTTGTATAGTTATTGCGTTTGTGTTAAATGCGTCTTCGGGCCATGTCTGAAGTCGTTTATCTTTTTTCTTTTAGTCAGTAGTTCCTCAACCAGGGTTTTTGCTCCTGTACGTTGGTCTGGGTTTTCATTGTTGGCCTTGACCGTTATCCGTGTTTTGTTTTTGTGGGTGTCCATGGTCGGAATGAGGGGTCTCCCTTAGCGTAGGCAAGGTCGTCTGTCTTCTTAAAAGTCGCAGCAGTTGTACTATTTTATTTGCTGTCTTAGTTTGGTGGTGAACTTTGGGGAACGTGCCTGGAGAATGCTCAGGTCGTTTTTCTAGGTACTATCCGAGTTTATTCTTAGCTGCTTACTCTTCGCCTTAAACCAACCGGATCTCCTTGATTCTTACTCTCGAGAATCTTCTACAATTTTGTAGAATAGGCGGGAGTTTCACAATACATATTTAACAGTATAAGCTATGTATGTTTCTAAATATAAATTTACAAACGTTGATATTAAAATAACTATATAATAACAAATTCGTTACAGTACTTATAGCAACAAAACAAAACAAAAAACGCTCATCTTTTAAGAAAGTTTTAGTTACTTCTAACAGTGGAAACGACTTGAATAAAATATTGTAAAGATAAAATGTCCTGGTTTGTTCCCGCTTTTAAGTGCTAGATAAATATTTGTACTTGTGAAAGTACTAAACACTGATAAGACTACGTACATGTAACTACTGTGATCTGTACAGTTCGCAAGGTCACCCAGTTTTAAACGGCTAATAAATATTATCTTTGCACCTCAAGGCCGATATAACGCTTGTTGCTATCTGAACGAAAAATATAAACATACTAATCTCAAATTACTTATTCATGTCTCTTTTTTATCTATCCCTTTACGTATATGACTGTTTATTCAAGGATTTATTATTTGGCCTTTACTTCTGTATGTGTGTCTATCCAACCTATCAGTTTTTTATTTCTTCAACTGTTTTTTAATTCATTTGGTTATCAGTAATGCATCAAATCCAAATCATCGAGTTTTGAAAGTGTTCTATGGAATATAGTTTTACACATTAACTATCTAACATGAATATATTAATTAAAGATTTCGAAGAATTTAGTGTCTTACATGTATACCCAATTCTTCTTTGTCTGTTTGTTTATTAAAAGATTTCATTTGCTTCAGGCTTTAATTAAACATATGTATATGTGTATCTTATTATGGAACTTGTAATTTATTTTGTTAATAAACCTCTTGAACTAAGGTGTTATCTAAAAACAATGCTTAGATGTGAGGACTTGGATAACGTTGTATCAACTGTGCGACTGTTGAAATTCTTGATTTTTTAATAATTACATTTTCTGGAGCAAAATGTTTATCATCGAAACCTGGTTTTTAGCGTCGTAACTCTGCTGACTTGTCACTGGCCGCTGGAAGCTCCATGCAAGGGAAAAATAGAATTGCATTATTAAGAAAACAACGGACACTGTTTAGATATGAGTGGTTTCTTAACGTTGTAATTACTCTTCTGTCATTGGAATTGTTGATATTGATTTCTCAATAATTACAACAAGATGCCCAAGTTATATTTTTATAAGCATTATTTTTATCACAAAATAAGATTTGTTTCTTAAGATTTACCTTTACCATCAGCAGGATGATATGCATTAACATTTTAATCACCAACATTGCAATAGTTCACTTTTATAGGCCCTTAATCTTAAGTCTGACATATAACTGGAACAACTGTGTGCGAAACAGAAATATCGAACGGAAGCTAAGGTTACAAATCTTCCCAAGGTATTAGAAAAAGGAGATATAATGATCGTTTTCTATTATTATTATTTTTTAAAGAGACTTACCACTGAGGCCAGCTCCAATCACAATTACTTGGTGTTGTTTAGTCGACATCGAGTTCTTATTCTTTCACAACTATCTCGGATTTCAGTTTCTACCAGTGACTAGACAAGTAGCAAAGTCGAAACTATATTTGATAAGTGTTCGACTCATTATCTTTCTGATTGGCTAAGATCGCAATTTATGTAGGGGTACACCAGTCATGCCACATTTTGTTTTAATTAAATGACCTCTCACTTTTTCAGTTTTTGATGTATTATAAATGTTAATTTTAAAATGTAGCTATAATTTATATAATCATTCATTGTTTAGGTACAATATTGTGTAGATATAATTTATATAATCATTCATTGTTTAGATACAATATTGTGTAGATATAATTTATATAATCATTCATTGTTTAGATACAGATATTGTGTAGATATAATTTATATAATCATTCATTGTTTAGATACGATATTGTGTAGATATAATTTATATAATCATTCATTGTTTAGATACGATATTGTGTAGATATAATTTATATAATCATTCATTGTTTAGATACTGTTGCGTCAGCAGAGGTCACGTGACTAGTATCACGCCAAGTCGTTCTTGAACATTCACGTCCTTTCCTTAAATCTCGGGATCCATCTAGATATAGTGTAGTCTTGTATATATAAGACCGGCCAAGATCAGGCGTGTGTGTGTAATTGAACTGAGTATTGTTGAAGTCGAGCACGTGAGACGTTCGTTGAGAATTATAGCGTTTTTTATAGCGCGACTGTTGAAATTAAGTGTA